AGGCCTGCCCTTGCAGGAAGGGGCACCGGCTGCCCCCCCCCATGAGCTGCGGGTACCAACCACAACCCCTGCGGAGGCGAGGGGATGGAAAAGCACGTTCCCAGCGGGGAATTAAACATCTAAATCCCAGTGACGCGGCCAGGAGCAGCCCACTTAGCTCCCCAAACAACCCCTTCAAGTGCACCCAGCAGGATTAGGGGTTTTGCTGCAAACCACACGGGAGGGAATTAGCCAAACAAACTGAGGGATGGAGGCAGGCCGGGAGCACAGGCCTCCTCCATGGTGGCTTTTATGATTTGGCCAAGCTGCCGCCGTGCCCTCTTCGGAGCCCTCACAGACCCCAGCACAGCCAGCCCGGCCCCAGCTCAACAAAGGGGTTTTCCCCAGAAAACCAGCCTGTTTGCTCCAGGCAGGCGAGCCGGGGTAACAGTTCCCTTGGCAAAGCCGGAGTGGTTCATCCGGGGAACGCTGCCAGCCCTCGGGAGAGCAGCCAGAGCTCGATTCTCACCCGGCTCTGTCAGGGACGGTGACCAACTCCCACGCAAACGCCGTGGAAGGCTCTGGGTGCTGAATTATATGGAGTGGATACGTAGGAAAGCCAGTCCTGGGTCTCCTTCTCCTCGCTGCTGGATGGAGACCTCTCTGGGGGCTCTTCCTAACGTGGAGCACGGCCATCCCAGCTCTCTGCGGTTTGAGCTTGCATCGCTGATCTTTCTCTTGGACACAAGCACGTCGCTGCAGGATGCGGCTGCACCGCGAGCTTTCCCGCAGGCTGGCCGAGCGCTGTGCTAAACCGCTGTGTCCTTTGCTGCTCCGGGGATGGACCCATCCATGCTCCTGAGTCCTGGGAAGCCAAATCCTCGCTGGCTGAGCCTCACTGGTGCTGAGCCTGAGGAGCGGCGCACCAGACTGGCTGGAGCCCTGGCTGGATGCTGCCTTTGCACTGGGATGGATGTGCCAGTGCCTGTGTCGTGCTTTCGAGCACCGGCTCGGTGCCAGGCTGCGGCTGATCCTGACCCCCAAGCAGCTCTGGGATACTGAACAGAGAGATGGGGCAGGCGGAAAACCCAGGGGAATAGAGGAAGGCAGGCAGACCCCGAGCCTCGCAGTCCCCACGAGCACGACTGCGAGCTCTCCATGAGCAGTTCCGCGGCTGGCAGGCCACATCCTGCACCCGCGCTGCGTGCGGTTCCCCCGGGCTCAGCCCGTGGGACCTGGACATGGCTCTGCCTCTGATTTCCATAAGGCCTGGCTTTACGCTGCGCCTCCGTTTCACAAGGCACCGATGATCTCTGTATGGATTATAAACAGGACTTCTGGCCAAACCGCCTCGACGTTGATTAACTTCTCCGGATTAACTCAATTAGTCCATCCTGTTCGTTTCCAGAATTGATTTGCTGGAAGGATCTGGTGGCCAGGAGCTCTGCAGGCAGTGCCAGGAGCCCAGGCTCGGGACACACTCATCGTCTCTGGGTATGAGCCTGGGTCCTGCTGCGAGAGAGGATGAGCTGGGCAGGGCCTGGCTTCCCAAGCGGAGATGCCTCTGCTCGGATACGCACAGGCTGGAGCTTGTGATCCAGGATGCTGGGTATCGTGCAGCTGAGGAACCACCACCCGAATCCCATCGGAGAGTGCACCGCGGCTGAGCCGTTCGGTGGCTAGGTGGGAAACGGAGGGACAAGAGGTTATCCGACTTGATCCCGTGTCAGGCGTCATCTCGGGGACTGGGAGGCAAAGCACATCCGTCTCCCACCTCCCACGCGGCTCCTCGAACCCACCACGCCGGCCCCGCAACCCCACCGCCCCGTCTGCCACGGCTGCTGCAGCCAGAAACATCAAGGGATGTTTCCACCACGAGATGAAAAGGCTGGAAATGAAACCAGATGGATGCGAAGAACTTTGCAAAGATGCTGGTAACCATGGCGATGAGCTGCTTTCCCCCACCCCCCCTCCATCCCGGCCACCTTCCATCACCGCCCCCGGCAGACAGTGAGATTTCGGCACCGGTTACGTAAGGCCAGGCACAACAATGAGTCAGGCACGGCGTGAACCTGCCACGGTCGCCGTGTCCCGTGAGGCCGAGGATGTGGCGTGGGCTTGGGAAGGCGGACGGCATCGCCCCGAGCTGATACCCACATCATGGGTACCCCCCTCCGAAATCACAGCTGCCCCCAGGAAACCCAGAGAGGGGATGCTAGAAGGATGCTGGGGATGAATCCCAGGAGGATGATTTATTGCCCAGGTCCAGACCTCATCCTGGAGCATCCATGTGGAATTCTACAGCCTCACCCTCCCTGCTGCTGCGAGGAAGAAACTGGCTGGGGAATAACAACTTACTGACCTACTTTGGGCTGCAGCGCCTCTGATTTTATACAACTTGATGGCACCATGTCACAGCTGGAGAAAAATGGGACGAGATGTGATGTGGCGGGGTGGAGGGAGGAAAGCCTGACGGGGTAATGTGACAGGCAGCCACACAGGGCTGACACGCAGTCCGTGGGGCTGACATGCAGTCCGTGGGGCTGACACGCAGTCTGTGGGGCTGACACGCAGTCCGTGGGGCTGACAGCCAGCCAGTGGGGCTGTGGTCACATGGTGTGGGCATGCTGTGGCCACGTCAGGATGAGCTAGCCAAGCTGGCTCTTCCCTTGCCATCCCTGCAAAGAAGAGGGATCTCTGCCCCAAATAGCTTCCTGGTCCTGCCTCCTGTGCTGCTCCTGTCCCCTGTGGGTTGCTGGGGACAGCTGATGTCCCAGACATCCAGGGTGCTGGGAATGACAAAATTATCCTCCTCCCACCTTGAGTTAAGGGCAGGAGAAGGGCCAGGTTTCTCCCTGACAGCCCCAGGGCAGCCATGGCCTGTCCCTGCCCAGAGAAGTCGTGGTAAACGTTTGACCCCAAGAAGGAATCCGAGAGTATCGTTCACCGCAGGGGCAGCATGAGCAGAAGTCAGCGCCGGAGCCCCATAACCCAGCGAGACCCATAACCACCCAGCACCTCCATCCTCTTCCCAGCAGCGCCCTGGACCCTCACAGGGAGTCGCAGGGACTTGATATCTGCTAATTCCTTGCAAATCCTCGGAGGAGAGGTT